AGCGACTGCCTTCGGCTCAGGTCATGATCCTGGAGTCCCTGGATCGAGTCCCGCATCGGGCTCCCTGCTCGGCAGGGAGTCTGCTTCTCCCTCTGACCCTCCCCCCTCTCATGTGCTCTCTCTCATTCTCTCTCAAATAAATAAATAAAATCTTTTTTAAAAAAAGTTTTAAGTTTTAAAGCTTAGTTCAAGGATTATGGTTTTGAGGTATCTTGGTGGTATATCTCAGACAAACTTTTAATTGTCAAAGTTAAATTATATTGCCTTGTATATTCTGTTTTTAGAATTTAGTGTTTTATACCCATGACTAGAACTATCAAATTTTCTAAATGTTGGTCAACATGCAGCCTTTTTTGGGGGAAGGTGATTCTTTTTTACCAAATGAACTTTATAAAGTCAACTTCCTTAATTTAAATGTAGGTGCAATGAAAGCCTCAGGGTGGTTTTTTTTTTTTTTTTCCTTGAAAAACCTTTAAAGAGATGTTTAAACAAATCAAAATATGCTATAACTTAAAAGTAATAATTTGATGTGGCAAGTTTTAAATTAAAACACACACACACACACACATATGCTGCATAACCTTTCTTTGAGTCTTTGGTTTAAGTCCTCTGTCATATAATGCCAAAAACTTTGCTCTGAGCCGCGTGTGTGTTGAAACATGTATGCCTGTCCCAGTGTCATAACTAATTATATCTCTTGTATGCTTACTTCTAGTAATTGGAAAGTAGACCTACCGCAGCATACAATTTAACATTTAGTTTTATCTTCAGGACCTGCTGTAGAAATCGAGTTTTCCACCATGTAGCAGCTTGACATTGTAAACAGATATTACCATTTTAAATATATCCTCCACTTCGTATTTTGCAGAAAGAGTGTACTTTGGGAGGAAGAATTTCAGGGATTCTTCAAGGTGCATGTCTTTACCACCCAGCAATTACACACTAATACCGTTCTGACTGAGAAATTTCCAATCTATGAATTGGAAATTGATGGTCTAGTGTTGTGGTAGCAAAATTTTACAGGATTTCTTTTTACCAAAAGTTTGTCAGAAGACTTTAGCTTGTGGCAGAACTTCTGGTGCTGTGGTCATTTAATCTTCATGGATTGTTCTAAAATAACATGGGGCAAATTCTATGAAAATGCATCAAGTAGAATTTTCATAGACTTAACTTAAAAATCCTGTCTCGGACATGCTTGTGACTGGAGCCACAGAGTTTTTTGTATGCACCAGCGTGTATGAAAGTATGTGGTCCTTGTCCATGCCTGCTGAAAGAGGACTTTACCAGTCTTCAGTCTCTGAGCCTTAGCCTTGTTGCAATTAAAGTCTTAGGACTGGGAGCAGTTAATGCTGGTGATAGATCGTGGTATTTAGCATTGTGTTGTGTTCCACGGTGATCTAGTTCTGCAGACTTATAGGATTCTAGTCAGAACTTGGGAAAGAATATACCGAAGAATTTTTGGCAAATATTTTTTAAAGGGAGAAATACAGTGACTTTTCTTACTAATGAGCAAGCCTTTTTGGCTTTGTTTAAAGAAATAGTAAAAGGATTGTGCACTTCTCTTATTCATAATTTAAAATTTAACACTGAAAATGCTGGATTTTCTTTTAATTGAAAATATTCCTTGCTTTAATGTTTTCTTCTTTTCATTCTTTCATTATAGTTAAAAATAAATCTGTTTCAAACTTATTTTTATACTGAATTAGTTTTTGTAGACTCTGTGTTGTTTCTTTCATATGGTAACTGAAGTACGCAAAGGCATTGAACTTGAACGTTGTGTGTTCTGAAATGTGAGGCTTCGATTCTTGGTGTAATTTCTCTATTTTGAAAACTGAATTCCCAGTGGTTTCTTTCTAATCAGTGTATCATGACCTGTTCGATTAAAAAATTAGATGGCCCAAGCCATCTAACTTTTGAAGACTGGCTGTGAAAGCCATGTGTTAAATAATGAAAGTATCCTTCCATTTTTAAATGTTCATTCCTCTTACAGTTTTTGTGGTGTCAATCAAATTGGCGTATTTGGCTTTAAGAATAACCGATGACAGAAATCTGAATTTGCAGTTGATGGGCCACATAAGAGAAAGGGTAATTTTAAAAGGTCCTGGCAGTAGGAGAGAAGGTTGACCTGCAACCGGACTGATAGGAACACCTTCCCACTCATCAGTTGACTGTGAAATACTAAAGAGTGGAAGATGTTAAGGCTTGTCTGGGTTCTTTGGACTATATCTGTTCTTTTTCTAGTTCCTGTGGTTGTAAAGTTTGATTTTTTAATTTGAGATTTTACTTATTTCTTGAGGTAAGCTTGTATTGCTATGAACTTTCCTCTTAGAACTGCCTTTGCTGTGTCCCATAGATTTTGGAATGTTGTGTTTACTTTTTTTTTTTTTTGTCTTAAGGTGTTTTTTTATATACCCTCTGATTTATGTGTTGACCCATTAGTTGTTTAGTAGCATGTTGTGTGGCCTTCATGTGTTTGTTTTTTTTCTTGCTATTTTTTTCTTGTAATTGATTTCTAGTTTTATACCATTGTTGTCAGAAAAAATGCTTGATATGTTTTCAGTCTTTTTTTTTTTTTAAGATTTTATTTATTTATTTGAGACAGAGAGAATGAGAGACAGAGAGCATGAGAGGGAGGAGGGTCAGAGGGAGAAGCAGACTCCCTGCCGAGCAGGGAGCCCGATGCGGGACTCGATCCCGGGACTCCAGGATCATGACCTGAGCCGAAGGCAGTCGCTTAACCAACTGAGCCACCCAGGCGCCCATGTTTTCAGTCTTCTTAAATTTATTGAAACTTGTTTTGTGACCTAACATGTGATCTGTTCTGGAGAATGTTCTGTGTGCACTTGAAAAGAATATGAGTTCTGCTGTTTTTGCATAGAATATTCTGTAAATCTCTATTAAGTCCATCTGGTCTAATGTATAAGGCCAGTGTTCCCTTATGTTGCTTTTCTGTCTAAATGATCCTATTCATTGATATAGTGTGGTATTAAAGTCTCGTATTATTGTATTGCTGTCAGTTTCTTCCTTTATGTCTGTGAATATTTTTAGTTTTATATATTTAGGTGTTCCTGAGTTGGGTGCATAATATTTATCAGTGGTATATCCTTTTGTTTGATTGAACTCCTTATCTTTCTTTGTCTTTTGTTAACAGTCTTTGTTTTAAAGTCTATTTTGTCTAATATAAGTATTACTACTCCCTATTTCTTTTTGTTTCCGTTTGCAAGGAATATCTTTTTCTGTCCCTTCACTTTCAGTTTGTATGTGTATTTAGATCTGAAGTGAGTCTCTTTTAGGCGGTACATGGATGGGTTCTGTTTTTGTTTTTGTTTTGGAAGCACTTAGCCACCCTATGTCTTCTGATTGGAGAATTTAATCCATTTATGTTTAAAGTGGTTATTGATAAGTATATACTTATTGGCATTTTGTTCATTGTTACCTGATGTAGTTCTTCTCTGTTCCTTTTTTCTTCTCCTGTTCTCTTCTATTGTGGTTTGATGACTTCCTTTAGTGTTATATTATTTTTCTTCACTTTTTGTGTATCTATTACAGATTTTTGGCTTATGGTTACCATGAGGTTCACATAAAATAAACAATATTTATAGAGCAGTTATTTTAAGTTAATAGTCACTTAAATTTGGCCACTTTCTAAAAGTACTACATTTTTAACCACCTTCACATTTTATGTTTTTGTCATATTTTACATCTTTTTACTTTGCGTATCCCTTACCTAATTATTGTAGTTATAGTTGATTTTACTCCTTTTGTCTTGTATCCTTCATGCTAGCTTTGAGTGGTTGATCCACTACCTTTATATATATTTGCCTTTGCCTGTTTCTGTTTTTTTGAAGTGTATACTTTATTGCAACTAAACAAATGGAACCTCAAATTTCACTTCTTAACATTCTTGAGTAAATGTGATCTGTAGGGGTATATGGATGTTATACACTTGGTATACTAAGAATATTTAGTCATGGGCCCCCAAATCAAACCCAGATATACCCATTTATGCAAATGCCAATGATACTGTGTATCAATATTTGGCAAATTAGCACAGTATAAGTTGAAACTCACATCTCTAATTTTTTTGTGATTAAAAAATATTAATTTGTGAGAAATTTCTAAACTATTAAAGGATTTTTATTTTTTTCAAATTTATTTATTTTAGAGAGAGCTAGAGTACGAGGGGTGGGGGGGGCAGAGGAAGAGAGAGAATCTCAAGCAGACTCCCTGCTGAGCATGGAGCCTGACATGGGGCTCGATTCTACAACCCTGAGACCATGAGCTGAGCCAAAATCGAGAGTCTGGTGCTTAACTGACTGAGTCACCCAGGTGCCCTAGGACTTTTAAATAAATTTATTTATTTTTTTTTATTTTTTAAAGATTTTATTTATTTATTTGACAGAGACACAGTGAGAGAGGGAACACAAGCAGGGGGAGTGGGAGAGGGAGAAGCAGGCTTCCCGCCGAGCAGGGAGCCCGATGTGGGACTCGATCCCAGGACCCTGGGATCATGACCTGAGCCGAAGGCCGACGCTTAATGACTGAGCCACCCAGGTGCCCCTTAAATAAATTAAAAAAAAAAAAACCAAACCTTCAGCATAAATAAAAACAATTTAATAAAAACAAATAGTTTTGCCTACTCATTGCTTTCTAATCAGTTTTGAGATTTCAATTGAAAAAAGAAATTCTAACATAAAGCCCCATATTTGAAAAGTATTCAGTTGGCAGTCCTTGTTTGGTTGACAGCATAGTATCCAAGCTTACTCTTCTACTTCCATACACATTCATCATCATATGGCAGCCTTTAAGAAGTTCAGACAGAGGGGCACCTGGATGGCTCAGTCGGTTAAGCCTCTGCCTTCTGCTCAGGTCATGATCTCAGGGTCCTGGAATGGAGCCCAGCTCAGGCTCCCTGCTCAGCGGGGAGCCTGCTTCTCCCTCTCCCTCTCCCTCTCCCTGCTGCACCCCCTGCTTGTGCTCTCTCTTTCTCTCTCTGTCAAAGAAATAAATAAAATCTTTAAAAAAAAAAAAAAAAGTTCAGACATATTTAACAGAACCTATTTAGTTGGTAGTAGAGTTTTCATTTATAAAAAAGCAGCTTAAGTGTGTATTACTATACAGCTTTAGCGTGGCCATAAGTAACATCTCAATACAATCATTGGATAAACTAATAAAACAGCTTTTTTTGGTGTTGTAACAGAATATTGGTTTTGGAGTTGAAAAGGCCTGCATTTGAATACTGATAACTTTACTAACTAAAGCTGAATCTTGTGTAAATTCCTTTACCTATCCATTTCTTTATTTATACTTGTAAAAAACACATAAAGTTACCCTCTTGGCCATTTTAAGTGTAGATGTCTGTAGCGTTAACTATATTCTCGTTACTGTGCATTAAAAATTTTTTTTTAAGATTTATTTATTTTAGAGAGAGAGCGGGGGAGGGGGAGAGAGAGAGAGAGAATCTTCAGCAGACTCCCCACTGAGCACGGAGCCCCCTGTGGGGCTCGATTTCACCACCCTGAGATCATGACCTGGGCTGAAATCAAGAGTCAGATGGTTAACCGACTGAGCCACCCAGGTGCCCCCCCAATTTTGTTTTTTTGTAATAATTTCAGGCTTACAGAAAAGTTGGAAAATAGTAATGGATTCCCATATACCTAGATTCCCAAATGTTAACATATACCATGACCATGTAACTTATTTAAATTGAGATATAATTCACATACCATTAAATTCACTATTTTAAAGTGTACAATTGGGGCGCCTGGTGGCTCAGTCGTTAAGCGTCTGCGTTCGGCTCAGGTCATGGTCCCAGGGTCCTGGGATCGAGCCCCGCTCGGCAGGAAGCCTGCTTCTCCCTCTCCCACTCCTCCTGCTTGTGTTCCCTCTCTCGCTCTGTCTCTTTCTGTCAAATAAATAAAATCTAAAAAAAAAAAAATAAAGTGTACAATCAGTGGTTTTTAGTTATATTCATAAGGTTGTGCAACCATCACCACTATTTAATTCTAGAACATTTTCATCACTCTGAAAGAAATCCTATACCTGATAGTGGTGAGTCCCTTTTCACCCCACCCCCACTCCCCAGCTCTTGGCATCTTTAACTTTTTGAACCACTATTCTCTCTTTTATAACATAGGCATACTGGTACTGATACTGAAGTATTTTGAGATAACGTGAAAATACCTAGCATAGTGTCTCTCTAAGGCAAGTGCTGAATGCCCACTTAGTTTCTTTTCTCTTATCACAGGAAAAAAAAATACTATACTTAGATCTACATGAATTATTTTCAAAACTGTGATGACAGAGAAACTGTTTCTAAGTGAGAATTCTTTTACTAGTTTATCAACCAACAATTTACAAGATATTAAAAAACATAATGGGGGGACCTGGGTGGCTCAGTAGGTTGAGTGACTGTGTTCGGCTCAGGTCATGATCCCGGAGTCTCTGGATCCAACCCCGCATCGGGCTCCATGCTCAGCGGGGAGTCTGTTTCTCCCTCTGACCCTTCCCCCCCTCATGCTCTCTCTCTCTCTCTCTCTCATATTCTCTCTCTCAAATAAATAAATCTTAAAAAAACTCCAAAAAACATAATGGAGGTGATTATGTTAAAATAGTTAATGTAAGGTAAAAAAGCCTGTGAAACTCCAAAAAATACATGTGTAAAATAATGTTTTACAGACACAGACTAGGGAAATAGATCTGCAATAGGTGCCTATCGTGCATGCTTATTGTCATTGATTAATTTTTTATTTTGAAGTTTTATTTTCTTGACACATTTTACGTATCCATTGTTTAAACATTTTCAAACTTTGTATGTTTAAGTTTATAACAAGGCATGGTAAATACCGCAGTGTGGTAAAACCAGTCAAGGATCATAAGGGTTCCATTGTTATCTTAAATGACAGACACATACACCTCATGACCTGGATTTGATTAGCCTTTGATGATATGATGGTTTGATCGTGGACATACTGTTTAGCCAAGATGTCTGCATTTTGAGGAATAATTAGTTATGGTTCTGATTGCCTTACCACAAATGTTGCAAATGTTCTAAATATTTATATTGTAGTAGGAAGCAGCCTAGGTAGCACAGGGATAGAAAGCATGTGAGTCAGAAAGGCCTGAGTTTGAATCCCAACTGTGCTTTGGGAAATTTGACAAGGACAGAATTTCTGAAAGCCTCAATTTCCTCGTCTATAAACTTGGAAGATAATAACCTTCAGTGCATGGGGGTTGGAAGTGAGGATTAAATTAGACATTGTGTGGGACAGGACCAGCATAGTGCCTGACCTAAAATAAAAACCTTAAAATGATGGGTGTCCTTCAGATTTCCTTACGTGCTGCTCACAGAAAGGACTCTGTGGTACTTTGATTCTAATTTATATGACCTCTGTTATTTGTCTAGAACAGTGCATATTAGGTTATTTCTTGTGAAGTAGAGAACTACAGTGTTCAAATGAAGAATCTGAAGAGCAATGAAAATATTAATTACCTTAGTTGTGGTCACAGTGGTGGGATCGGTGGGATTATTTCAACCCAAAAAGCCATTTAAAAAAACATAATACTATTTAAAGTTAGAAATTGTCCAATTTGAGAATATACATTTATGTGGTAACCCTTCTGTGATGAACACTCTTAGTCTCATTTTATAATAGAACTGCTGAATTAAATGTGATCGAATGCTCTTTTGGTATCAGATTCATAAACATGATTATACATGGTTTTTTGTGGCTGGCAATGAGCATAGGAATAGCAGTTTTTCCCAGTCACTCAACCTGGCAATTCTTTTTTACTTTCAGTATGTCTTACTGTCTAAGTTCTTTGAGCTTTAGCGACAAAACTACATAGTAAATTGTCACAAATCTGCCTGTTTGGACACTGCAGTATTTTGCCATCATGACATTAAAGGAAAAACAGTTTCTGTAATAGGGTGAATACTTCTGAGCAGAAACAAAGGTCAAGCTGTAGGATGAACTTTTGAATGACAGCTAATGTTAGCGTGGCTTAAAGGGGAGATGCCAGGTCAGCTATGGGCATTCATTAGCTTCATGGATATGAAATGACAGCTTTCCCCCCCTTTAATGCCAGGGGTGCTGAATTATCTAAAAGCAAAAGCTGTGAAAATGAGATGGTAAGAAATTAAATAATCAGAACATAAAGGAACCAAGGAATTAGTATTAGCTAGGGTGTGTATGAGAAACATTCCAGATAGGCACTGTGATATAAGTTCTGTTTCTTTTCTAACCCAGATTCTGTCACTGACTAGCTGTTCGATCTTTGTAACTTCTTCGGTACTTCTTCAGAGCTCCTTATCTGAAGAGCAGACAAAATGAAGAACGGAAAACCGGTGTCAGCCCTCCTGCAGTATCGATAGATTGGTAACGGCTACTTGAGAAGAATTCTGAGATTGTGCCTTGGGTCACTGGGAAGCAGTTGAGCAGTTGCTGATTCGTGACGGTCACTGGGGTGCTGGTGGGCGTGTGTGCTCGCAGGGATACGCGTTTGTAGGTACATGCATCACATTTATTGAGTATCCTATTTAGTGATCCCTTTCGATTCAAATTTGTATCAGAGGTTACATTTTTCTTGCAGTAGGGGTGAGACAGCTTTCCTTTAATCAGACTGAAAGCCAATGTACCTCTACTTTTGGGAGAGGATCATAGGCCATGGAGCTAGCTGCCCAAAAGGCATATAGTGATGGCATCTAGCAATGAATGAAGTGGCTGTTGCCAGAACTGAAGAGTTGTGTGACTCTTGATCTCAGGGTTGTGAGTTTGAGTCCTGCGCTGGTGTAGAGATTGCTTAAAAAAAAATCTTTAAATAGACTCACCTGGTATTCCTTTCTAACCTGCAGATCTGAGTGAATCAAACCTAATAGGTCCTTTCTTAAAAGTAAGCCATCAAATGAACCATAGTTAAATGTTTTTTTGATGTAGGGCATTTATCTATTCTAGGATAACTTTCAAAGCTAAGTGGTATTTTGGGTTGTAGTTTAGTACCACATGGAAGGAAAACATGTAAGAAAATCAGTGATGGCATGTAATTCTTGCCATACTGATATACGGCAGAGTATAAACGGCATTAAAAGGTGCGGAATCCTTAGCAACTAGTGCAAGTTACGATTGGCTCGGCAGTGTTGAAAGCAATAAGATAGCTTTCAGGTTTATAAAGATACAAACTATTAAGGAATTATTGCTTGATTTTAAGAATTCTTAAGTTTCTAACATCTTTTGTTACCTAAGAAGATTATCCAGTTATTGAAGACTTAATCTGTATTAGAAATGGTATAATGACTTTTATGTATTAGGCCTTTATTTTTTTCAAAAGATTTTATTTATTTGAGAGAGAGAGAAAGAGCATGAGTGGAGAGAGGGGCAGAGGGAGGGGAAGAAGCAGACGCCTTGCTGAGCGGGGAGCTAGACGCAGGACTCTTATTATCCCAGGACCCTGAGATCATGACCTGAGCTGAAGGCAGATGCTTAACAGACTGACCCCCCAGGTGCCCCTGTATTAGGCCTTTATACAAGGAAGGACCTGTGTGAGAATAACTCGTTAGCTCACCTCACTGACCAACAAAATTAGTAGTTTTCCTTAATGTGTATTCCTTAAGATATTAACTGTAGCAAACATGCTTGCACACAAAGGCCATACATTGCCTTTTTGAATTTCTTTGAATCTGTCTTAGCCACCATTAAGATTGTCCAAGGACATGACTCATGTTTATTCATGTTTGAGTCACCAAACCTTGCATAAGCCTGGCATACAGTAATTCCATAAATGTTGAATCAGCAGCTGATTTTACCTAAGAGTAACAGTGAGCTACCAGGTGAAGATCGTGTCCAGTTTGAAGTCTAGATTGGGGGATCTGAAAGTATACTGGATTTTTCATCCTGTAATTCATAGAGGTTAGTGTGATACGTTCTGTTGTGATCAGTTTTTATAGAGATATCTACAGAACCTGGAAAGTGAGTGGTAACAACTTGAATTTCTTTGCTTCAAGTTTTTCCTGTCAAAGTCTATCTAGACTTAAAACTGTCAGTAGAGATCTGTGCATGAAAAAACCTCCAAAGAAACATTTTTGTTTAAAAATAAATGGTAAATCAAAATTTGTGTACAGAATAATATAATGTTAATGTGCCTTATATAAGTAGATGTAAACATCTGGTAGCCTAAGCCATCAGACTTTCACAGCTGCAAAGGACAGTAGTGGATCAGAGTTTGGCATCTGAATGATTTGGTTGCCTTCTGTTTTTGGTGTTTTTACACCACCGTTCATAAAATCTAGAAAGCAGCACAAAAGCTAAAGAATGGGTGCTCTGGGCTTTTTAAATGATGGGGGCAGAGCGTGATGGTAGTGGAAGACAGCGTCTTGAGAGCCCTAAAAACAGGCTAGTTGTGGCTCTGATGTCCTGGTTCCTCATCTTTCAAGTGGCATAAACATCCCTGTGTTGTATATCTTAGATCAGTATGACAACATGTTTGAACGTATTTTAAAGACTGTAATTCTGCGGTTTCATTTATTTCGTTTTATAAATATTATATGAGGACCTCCTTTATGCCAGGGTATTGCCTTTGGAGGTGGAAGTAATTCCCTAAGGACTTTGCAGTCTGGTGGAATTCTGGTTTTTAAAGACTGTGTTTCATGGTGTTTCAGTTTTATCCTACTGAGATATTTGCTCTGAGTCAAGACTGTGTAAAAAGGAAAAATTTGAAAATGTTTTGTTACTTTTCTGTCTCTATGCCTTATACAAACTTGACTCTTAGAATTTACCTATGTAATCCCCCACATCATGTAGGAGGGATTTTCTGGTATGATAAATTTTCTTTTGGCAAAGCCAAAGTATTCTAGCATATGTTGAACCAGGTGTGTAAGTTGACTAACTTTTAGACATGTAGTTGTCATCATTAATATAGGTGGCTTGCTTTCACTTGAGATGCTGTGAATAGCCCAAGGGTTGTTTCTGAAAAAGCAGGGAAGTTTACTTTGCATGTATGTATCAGGGTTGGCTCTTCTACAAAAAACTAAAGAAAATCATCATTTTTACTTAATGGGATTTGTTAGTGTTAGTCTTAAAAGTTGATTAGCAACATGTCTTCTTTTTATTCCTGATGGTGAGGGCTCATTTAAGGACCTGGGAGAAATTAGGGTTGATGGTTGTAGTGTCCAACTTAAAAAAAAATAAATAAATAAGGGTGGCATTAAATTATATCCTCGAATTGGTTTTCTAGATTTTTTTTTCCTAGAAAGAATGGTTTAGCAAAAGTTTTAAAAATCAAGGTAAACTAGAGACTATGTCACACTCATGGGCATGTTATTGTTTGGGAATCTTTTTTTTAATTTTATTATGTTAGTCAAGATACTTTACATCATTAGTTTTTGATGTTGTGTTCCATGATTCATTGTTTGCGTGTAACACCCAGTGCTCCATTCAATACGTGTTTGGGAATCCATTTCATCTGCATATGCACGTTAGTGTTTTCAAGACTATGTCACTGATGGTCCACTTTATATATGGATTCATTTGACTACATGAATAGTTAGTAATCACTGACTACATCTTAAAAAAAAATGACCTCTATTCCTTTGTCCAAATCAGAACAAATTGTTTTTGAAAGCGGGGCCACGAGGATACCTTGAATGACCACAGACCCGGCCCAGAATGGAAAGGAAATTATGAAAAGGAGGGAGCCATTCCTTTGGTCCCCCCAATCCTAGTCTGGGAACCATTAGCAGGACCATCTTGGTGTGCAGTATATTCATAGCATTAGAGGCAATTTCTAAAACTGTTAAATCCAATCCCTGTAGGATTTTAGAGATTAAACTCGCCACCCTGTGTTACAACCAGATGAAAATAATTATGTACTCCAGCTTGCTGCTAAGTGGGGTAAAATGGATTTCTAGTGCCAGGATTCTTAACTAGGTGAGATGGGTGCTGCCTTTTACTTAAAGCTCCTTGCAGTTAAAAGCTTTATCTTATTAGAACAAGTCTCAAAACTGGTAAGACTGGGAAAAAAAACAATACAACTTTAGACACCAGTTCTTTTAAGACCTCTTCTGACTGAAATCCATGTTTCTTGGCAAGAGACTTAAATCTCACATTTAAAATATATCAGAACTGTGTCTTGCATATACTAGTTTTTTGCTAACTAGATGTTAAGTGAAAAGTTTTTATTTTTTTATTATTATTTTTTAAGATTTTATTTATTTATTTGAGAGAGAGAGAATGAGAGACAGAGAGCATGAGAGGGAGGAGGGTCAGAGGGAGAAGCAGACTCCCCACCGAGCAGGGAGCCCGATGCAGGACTCGATCCCGGGACTCCAGGATCATGACCTGAGCCGAAGGCAGTCACTTAACCAACTGAGCCACCCAGGTGCCCCAAGTGAAAAGTTTTTATAAGCACAAAGGCAGTGCATGCTTGTTCTGCCTCTGTAAGGATAATAATGGGACCTACTTCATGGGTTTGTGGTGGTGAGGATTGAGTGTTACTAATGTAAAGAACTCAAAAACATGCTTGACACAGAAAAATCAATCAGTTGTTGATTGAAATATTAAACAAATTTTAATGCCACATAGAAAAAGTAGGCAATGTTTGCTGTTGTTATTATATGAAGTTGCTGCTGCTAACATTTCATCCGTATGAACTGTGTCTCCATTTGTGTAGAAGGACAGTGCTGATCGTTGCATGCACTTTGTACTCAGTTCTCCTTTTCAACGGTTGCATAGAATTTGTGATAACTAGTGAATGAAGCCATTACCACCTATTGACTAGACTTTTCTTAAGTACTCATGGGTATACATGACTGATGTTGTCCCAGTGAATGCTGACTTCTGTGAAAGAATATTAACCAACCGTTCACAGGTGAGGATGCCATTAACTCTACCCATTGTAGAGTTAACTTTTCACTTAAAAAAAGGAATTAAAGGTAACAAAAGGGGATGGGTGCATCCACTCCATATTGTAGTACCTTTTTATTAATTCATTAATACAAAAATTCTTTGCTGGTGCTAAATATCTATCTATCTATCTACACACACACACACGCATATATATATATATAGGGCATATACTGTACTAGGCTCTAAGGAGTCATTGATAGGGAAAGAAGAGTTATACTCCCTTACTCTTATGGTGTTTGCATATGGATAGGGAGACTATTATTTAGATAATCAGGCAAAATTGTAAAATGGTAAATGTGGTACATATTAGGAATACAAATTTTGGCTTTCAGATATATGTCTTTTGAATGGTCTTAAGAAAGTATCACTATGGGACGCCTGGGTGACTCAGTCGGTTTGAGCATCTGCCTTCGGCTCGGGTCATGATCTCACGGTCCTTGGATCGAGCCCCACATTGGGCTCCAGCTCAGGGGGAAGCCTGCTTCTCCCTCTCCCTCTGCCTGCCACTCCCTCTGCTTGTGCACTTGCTCACGCTCTCTCCCTGTCAAATAAATGAATAAAATCTTTAAAAAAAAAAAAAAGTATCATTGTTTTCCTCTTCTCACAAAA